AATTTCGTGCCCTGGATGCCTTGTTTCGTCCTAGTCGTGGTTCGATGTCTGGGACCTCTTGTGCCTCTGTAGTCGGTTGTCATTCCATCTTTATTTCTTCATCCTAGTTGTCGTTGATGTCTTCTTGTTCCCCCATTGTCTTTCTACTAGTCGACCATTTCCTTTTTCTCGTTTGTTGCTCTTTGCTCGCCCTGTGATATTTAGGCCCTGTCGTTGTAAACTGTTGTTGCTCTTCTCAGGGAAAAATACATCGATGTTAGGCAGTTTCATGTAGTGCTATATAATCTTGAGTCCTTAATAGACTATATAACAAGACGGCTGTTTCACGAGACATTGACTTCTTTCCTTTATCCGTTTTCTTCTTTACATCGTAAAATTCTACATGGCTCTCCATATATGGATGACCTTTTTTTTTTCCCTCACTTCATTCCTCCTTCGTATCATAAAAAATGATACATGAATTTGTATGAGATGACTTATGATACTTTTTTTTTTGGAAAAGGAAGATTTTATTTCATCCCAAGATCAGGACTTATGATACGAAGGAATGTATTTGCTCTTAGTAAATAAACTATTGCTGGAAAAGAGAGCCGATTATCCCCACACAGATGACACAAGTGCCCCTAGTCTCGGTATCTTTCTGGGAAAATAAGGTGTCCAGTCCAGATTTGATCATCTCGTAAGCAATGACTTAAGCAAGCAATACGGCAATATAGAGTACTTAATTGATTACCAGCGGTGTCAAGTGCACGAACGACAGTACAATCATGTGCCTAATTTGATTCTGGCATCTTGGTTGGACTTGGCAATTAGCATCGTTGATATATCTGGTGCAGTTCTTACTGTAGTTTGGAATTGGCAGTGTCCTAATCTGTTCCACTAACCAGCTAATGGACAAAGTATTGGTTCGTTCCTCGTATCTTCGAGATCCTAATATAACATTGTTATGAGGCGAACTTGCAACTCAGATGCTAGGCCTGTTACATCTTTCACTGTATTAGCAACATAAAACTACATCCGTGACCATTGCTTAGACGAAGGTCTTACCTGTAGGCACGAGGGTAACAAAGAGCACGATGTCAAGACTTTATCCGCCGCCGCCGCCGCCACCTCCTCGCTCTGCCTCCGCCGTCGCGTCTAGGCCCCCTCTCCTTTCGGATTGAGTTTGCCAGAGACAAGAGGGGGAGGGGACTCATCCTTTTCTCGTAGTTTTCTTTTTTCTTGATCGGGATAATAAATTTCTGACGAAATCAAATGATTTTTGGTCGGAATCGTGTGTGATGTGATGACTTCGGTGATTGCCATGACAAGATCGACGTTTTGGACTGGTTATGAATCTGCATCCTATGTCGTACCGTTTTGGACTGGTTTCGAAGTGTTGGATCTTGCGGCATGTCCAATATTTTGGGGTTGGTCGTTGAATTCGGTTGGCATAAGGGCTGCACTTTGGCTATGGCGTTCGAGAGAAGCCATTGGAGAAGGAGACGATGGAAAAAATTAGATATAATATTATGCATTTTTTATTTTAGATTGTAATTTGGGGATGTATTGTACCAAAATTTAATGTAAGTCCCCTTTTTTGGAAAAAAAAAAGGTAATATAAAACCATAAAATGTGACTCTGCGTGGTTCTCTCCCTGTCTTTGACTAGAGTTTGTATACTTATTGCCTCACGGAGTCACGAATTGATTCTGCATATGCAAACAAGGGAGATAGTAGTAAAAGTTTGGTGGCTTCGAATAGTGGCAAGGTACTGACGGCATGCCCGGACAGTAGGATAAGGTTGGTGCGATACTAAAAAACTTCATACAGAAAACAATAAAAAGCCTCCCTTTGTCTTTTACAAAAATCACCGGCTGCAATGCTGTGATTCGTGATTGCCCTTCCAAACAAAAATTATTTATATTACGGTCAAAGTCATGATTGATGGCTTTCGCAAAGAAAAAAAAAAGTCATGATTGATGGATACCTTCAAATTTAAAAAATAAATGGTGTTTTCAGTTGCTCACATCTCACATTGAAACTTAACTTTGGCGTTAAATGGGACGTATACTTATTCGATATGTGTTCTAACAGAAATTTTAAATGATTAGTCCTTTCACTATGACAAAATTTCGTAGAAAGTACGTGCATATACACATGTGTTTTTACCAATCTTTTACGTTTTCTGATGCGTCCAGAGCTAACACAAGTCCTGTAATATTGAAATTGATTTATGGATGCAATTCTTTTTCCATTGCTTCAAATTGATAACCCGAATTTGCAATTTAAAAGTTCAAGCAACCCATTCGGAAGCTTCCAAGCTATAAAGATGTGCTCATGTCATTGGGTTCCGATGGTGGGATTGGGATAACTTTACGATGATCATCGATTGTATGTATTTTGTTTCCTTTTTCTTCGCGAGGATACCGATCTACTCCTTCAATTCTAAATTATAAGACGTTTTGATTTTTTTTAGACACGTAGCTTTACTATATACATTTAAATATACATTATGTCTAAATATATTAAAATAAATATATCTAGAAAAGTCAAAACGACTTATAATAAAACGGAGAGAATATATACTCCAAATTTAGCACTTCGTAGCCATTCACATTGAAATTGTAAGTTCTTGTAGGAATCACGGCATCAGGGAAAGAAAAAAAACTTATCCCAAACGGCACAAGACAATCAGCTTCAGCTCAATCCTACTGCAGGAGTATTTCTTATTATTTATAATTGCTTTGAGGACCACCGCTTGCAATTGCAAGTCACAATTTGGCAACGATGCACTTGCACACCAATTCCCATGTCGCAGGTTCGCCTATAAATCACTCTTGCAGCCACAGCTAGTGGCACAACACTCAGCCTTGTCACTTCACCGTGCGTCAAGAAGCCACCGATCGAACTCGTTCGCACCATGGCCGCCGAGGCCGCTGCCGCCGGCCACCGTTTCGACTTCGACGTCATCGTGGTGGGCGCGGGCATCATGGGCAGCTGCACGGCGCACGCGGCCGCGTCCCGCGGCGCGCGGGTCCTGCTCCTGGAGCGCTTCGACCTGCTCCACCACCTGGGCTCCTCGCACGGCGAGTCCCGCACCATCCGCGACGCCTACCCGAAGGCGCAGTACCCGCCGATGGTCCGCCTCGCGCGCCGCCTCTGGGCGGAGGCCGAGGCCGAGTCCGGCTACAGCGTGCTGACCCCGGCGCCGCAGCTCTCGATGGGCCCGCGCAGCAACGCCTCGCTGCTCGCCGCCATCAGGAGCGACCCCGGCGCGGAGGAGGGGGCGGACCTGACGCGGAGGTGGGGAGGCGCGTTCCGGGTCCCCGACGGCGACGGGTGGGTGACCGCGGTGAGCGAGCGCGGCGGCGGCGTCCTGAACGCGACCAAGGCCGTGGCCATGTTCCAGGCGCTCGCCGTCAAGAAGGGCGCCGTGGTCAGGGACAAGACGGAGGTCGTTGGCGTCAGGAAGGGACCCGAGGAGGAGGGAGGCGGCGTCGTGGTGACGACGAGCGCCGGCGCCGAGTTCCACGGCGGCAAGTGCGTGGTGACGGTAGGCGCGTGGGCGAGCAAGCTGGTCCGGTCCATCGCCGGCGGCCTGGAACTCCCCATCCAGCCGCTGCACACGATGGTCCTGTACTGGCGCATCAAGCCCGGCCGGGAGCGGGACCTCGCGGCGGAGTCCGGGTTCCCGACGTTCTCCAGCTACGGCGACCCGCACGTGTACGGCACGCCGTCGCTGGAGCTGCCGGGCCTGATCAAGATCAACTACGACGGTGGCCCGCCGTGCGACCCCGACGGCCGCGACTGGGTCCACGGTGGCGGTGCCGTGGCGGACCGGGTTGCCCGGTGGATCGAGGAGTTCCTGCCCGACCACGTGGACACCGCCGGCGGGCCGGTCTCCCGGGTGTCGTGCATGTACTCCATGACGCCAGACAAAGACTTCGTCATCGACTTCCTCGGCGGCGAGTTCGGGAACGACGTCGTGGTCGGGGCTGGGTTCTCGGGGCACGGGTTCAAGATGGCGCCGGCGGTGGGGAGGATCCTGGCCGAGATGGCCATCTATGGCGAGGAGAGGACCGCGACGGAGGCCGGCGTGGAGCTCGGCAGCTTCAGGATCAACAGGTTCGAGGGTAACCCCTTGGGAAACGCCAAGAATTAGTAAACTGGAATTCTGGATCTTCCAAGCCCTGTGAACGTGATCTTCAAGAGCCTTGATCCAGTCCTGCGACATTTTGGAGAACCCCGGCGGCAACAGAGATCACAACGGATGTGCCCAGCTTCCATGGGTTTTTCACACACAGCTTCAATTTCTCTTGTTTTTTTCTTGATGCAATTACTGGACTTGCGCAATAAACTAAAAATATGTTTATTTTAGAAAAGATACAATAAGTGATATGGAAGGGCAAAACAATGCGATTGAGTGCAACGACCTCACTCGGTTGAATTTTATGCAAGGGTGTTGCGGACCATCGTCGTGTGCATACCTTTGCCCCAGTTTTTTTTTTTCGTTGCTCCGCCACTGCCTCTGCTTGCAGTTGTCTATCGTCGCGGAATGTGCATGCCTTAATCACAAGGCTATAGATACATAGTCAACTGACACCAAGTACTCCAGAAATGGCTGCAGCCTGCAGCTGCAACAACAATGCTGCATACTACTGCACATGCTATCCAAGCGACCAAGCATCAGCCAGCCGGTAGAACCCAACAAAAGCACAAACTTAGTTGCAACTGTTCCTTCCCAAACATGTATTCTAGTAGTACAATCCACTGCAATATACAACCCTTCCCCATCAAGGGGCAGGATGTTTCTCTTCCAGCATCTAACTTAACAGTATATAATTTAAAGTGTGTATCTTGGCATCGAGGCATTGCTCTGCAAGGTATTACTTCCTACAAAAATTCGCAATTCCCAATAGGAAAAGGGAGCCGTCCTTTTGGCAACTGCCCTGTTTTCTACTACCTACATATACTGACGGCCTCTTTGGATAAAAAGTCACCTATCTGAGCGCGTACGTCTCAGCTGGTGTAGCTCCTTAGAAACCCAAGCCCTCCAAACAGGGTTGAACCGCCAGATCTCCTGGGGCTTGGTTCCGCAGAGTTTCGCACACCACTCGGTAACTCAGAGGGTCCTTCCTTCATTGAACTTGCTCTGCTGAGAGCACCTGGTTGATCCTGCATATGTAAGGAGTTACTAATAGCTTATGCTGCAAACTCTGAGTATAGGCAAATCATGATTTAAGTTTAACAAAAGAAAGTGCAACTCTTAATTATATCGCTGCATGAATGCAAATTAATACCATCAGATCCCACACACTATCTCTACAGGTAAACAACAGATGATACTTTTCCAAGTAGGTGACAGGTGGATAGGGCCAAAGTTCAACAACAGACAACAGTCAAACAGTACATTTTTCTTAAAGCTATTATTGTGCTTCTTCATGAATTACTTAAACCTATATATACTGGTTTAAGAATGTTATATATTACTAGAATTTACCATTTTTGTTACTGGACTGTAAAGCGCAAAGTGAAAATAAAACTACTACACTATGTGGCAACACAACAGAACTAAAGTAGGCTCAAAGTTAATACGCTACATAGAGGTACGAAGGTGACAACAAATGTATACACTTATTTCAGTAGTAAGAAACGAGAAACAAAACATATTATCATATATGACAATATATGACACGCCACACAGTTGTCTTTAATGTGTTCCATCTATTGAGTATATGTAACAAAATTATTTACCTGCTGTAAGCAGCATTTGCATAGACAGCAAGTATATTAATTGTCTTATCAATGTACACAGTGATCATTAGACAGAACAAACCATGAACAAAACTGATTTTAAATCACAAAGCACTTTAGTTGATCAGTGTCTTACCCTTTTAGGTGGTATTGTAGTTCCAGCTAGCAAACTAAGTCCCGATGCTGACATGATTGTAGATGAGCGCACAACCTACAAAAGCAAATTATATCAGATGGAACAAGACAGGTCAATTGTATTCTCAAACAAGAAGCCAAACCTGACCTTAGGTGCCTCTATTCTAGGAGACTCTGGTTCCATAGCTGGGGGCAAAGAAGCAGCCTGTGGGGAAAAAAGATCAATTAGTGAAGATCCAAATTTAAAAAAAATGTAAGGTGTCTCAATAATTGTACCCTAATAATTCTCTCTGAGGATTCAATAGCAGGACGAGGAGTCGATGATGTAACCTGAAAATCGTATGAATCAGAATCAGCAAGGATGAAACAAGATAGTTGCCAAATTCCATAAAATGCATCAAGTTGGTGTCACTCTGAAATCTGTGCAACAATGTGCACCTACATTTTCGTTTATAAACAAAGTTGTGCCGTAGGAAATTACAAGAGGACCGAGGTTCAAACTTCTCACAGGTCATAGGCTCAACATGATAATGTTCACAATAAATTCATAAGCAGTGAATCAGGTATACGTGTTGACTTGCCTGGCGAGTATCAGCTTTCGGGCTCTGATCCAATTTTTTAGTGAATTCACACAAGTCATATATTCCTCGTGTTGTCCGATCCTAAGACATTTCAGTATGAGATTAGAAACATAATTGAGTCGCTGGGAGAAAAATGAGTCAGTGATGTAAATGTCTACTTACTTGAGTATAGGCTAGGCGTCCAAGCTTTGTCTCCTGCAACACAACAGGTAATCAGTTTGTGGTTAGGACTATGAGTGAATCAGTTCATCTTGAACAGAAAGGGAGAAATAAGCATGGTACAATGTACCTACCAAACTACGAACTACAAGATGAACTGTTTCCATTTCCTTCTGGAAGGCACTTAGATCTCCATGGATGATTGTAACCTATGAAATAATTTTATCAGTCTCCACTAAATTACACCAGATCTTGATAAAAGCAAAGCATATGGGTAAGCTTCAAACCTCTTCCCTTGTGGCTTCTGTAATTTCTTGGCATTCATCTAAACTACAATCTACACGATCAATCCTTTCGGCAAGATGTCTCTTTGCAACCTGATATGAAAATATTTCACATAAGTAGATTACGGATGCAACAGTAAGAGTCAGAACACCTAGATGCTGCCATCAAAATAAGTTAATCTAATGACTGGAGTCATATCCAGTGAAGCCTAGGAATTTTTTTTTTCTTATTGGGTCATTTTTTCCCTCTTTCCAGTCAAAAAATGGCATAGGCACTTGAAAGTATATAGAATTCATCTATATTAAAAAGTATGATTGGTATATGCACAAATAGATAATTCAAAAACAAAACCGTACATAAGCATACTCACTCTATTTCTACGTACTTGATACTTTTGGCCAAAACTTTCACTAAATACTTGCTCTCTCAAAGGCACATTTACCCAAATTTATCATGTAAGCCTACAATCCCCCATAGTTTACTACCTTGTTTAATGAAGAGGGTGTAATGGCCAACTTACTATGTTCTTGAGTTCACTGGTCAAAAGTGCCACATATATGGACACAGCAGGAATACAAATATCAGGTATAGAATCATAATGATATAGGAAACAACCATCATAAGAACGGTTCTGTTGCGAATTGTAGGTCCTTTGATGTTTTAATCAAACAGCCTTTAATCTAATGAGGTGTATGTTTAAGTTTGGATGAACAAATGAAGAAAGTTAACAAAGGGCGTACCCAGTGCAGAGAGCTCCCGCTTAGTACTTATTTTAAGGGGTGCAGGAAGGTATGTCATCACTACAAGCCTTACCTCGCTTGAAGTCAATAGCGAGGAGACCAAAGATGACTCGAGCCATTACCTTCCGGTCCTGATCCACTTGACTCTACCGCTTGCACCAGGCCCGCCCTTCAAATGAAGAAAGTTAACAAATTTTAGAAATTTATGTAGCACCTTAGTACTTATTTTAAGGGGGTAGCATAAGATATGTGGATCACTGCAACGTGCATATGAGAACATGAAGGTCTAATAGTAACACCACAGTGAAAGATGGAAGAAGAAACTTACATTAACACTTTCTGAAACCTGATCCACTTGTTTCCCCACTACATTGCAAGCATCTGATAACCCATGCTTCGTCACAAACATCATATCAGAAAGTTTCCACCCCTGTAATCATAAAGTTAGCTCTGGTGGAATTGACATTGGCCAAACATCAAATGGTACAGTAGGAATAGCATTTGCACAGTTTAGTGTATAACCATTCACTAAAATGGTAAGAAAGAGAACTTGCTGCCAGCAGTACAATCTAATATAGATTTGATTAATATACTTTCTGAGCAATATCACCAAATTAAAAACGAAAGATGTACCTTCCATCTTATGAATAAATAGCCAATAGCTCCAATAACAACAGCTGTTATACCATATGCACCAGGGCCTGCAACGTGAAAATTTTGCTATCATCTGTACAAAAGTCAATGAAGTTACTTGAAAACTACAACAACAACAACAACAAAGCCTTTTAGTCCCAAACAAGTTGGGGTAGGCTAGAGTTGAAACCCAACATGAGCCCCTCGTCACGGAATGAAGTTACTTGAAAACTAAAGGATAAAATTTTTAACTACTCTTAAAATAAAATAAACCACCAAGCATTCTGTGGAAAAAATCATCTATGATCAAGTACCAATTCCTAGTAAGCTAGGGCCTGTTTTGATCCTCTAAACTTTTTATTAGCTGCAATACGGGAGGGACCAGCTAATAGCATTTTATAAGCAGGGTCGTTGGATAGTTCAAGCTGGGCTGTTTGGATCAGCTAGAGTGTTTTTTAGCAGCTTTCTACTAGCTACAGCCTACAGCTGAACCAAACAGGACCTTCGAAAACAGCAGGATGAACAAAGAATTTTTTTCTTTGATGAACGGTTTTCAGATGAAGGCCAGCAGGTTTGTAGAAGATAAAATACAGTATAAGTTAACTCATAAGAAACAGGATAGCGAATCACAGAAAGCACTAACCAGGTCTACCGTCAACAGTGACAATAGCAACATGATTTGATTTAGACAACATTTGTAGCTCCTCTCTGAGATAATTGACCTGAAACACTTGGCCTGATGAGTAATGGTACATGCAATTGGTGTTAAAGGATAGAAAAAAAAACAGAAATTGGCATGCAAAAAACCTGGTTCAGCAACTGAGCAGTATGTGGACTGCTGGTCGACGGCCCATCCTTGCCTTGCTTTGCACTCTTGGTCAAGAACTAAAGACAAGAGGATAAAATAGGTGGTGAGGTAAAATACTGGCTGTAAGGAGGGGAGGAAGAAGCTGATGCCTAAAGACTTAAAAGAGGAGGCATGCAGAGAGATAGGGCAGGGGGTGATGAGACCTTGAAAGCACCAGAGATTGCATCCCTGAAGTCGGGAAGGCCAGACTCACCGCCTGTGAGTACTGATCCGACGATTCCTGCAAAGGGAAGCGTGGTGGTGACATGGTGAGACAATTAAGCACTCCAACTAGCGGCAACGGCAACTGAATAATCTATTGCTTCGTTGCAATTATTCGGAGACTGCTAGTCATTTGCAAAGCAATACAAAAACAGAACCAGAACGTATTCAATCAAAGGTGGGTGGGTGATTGCTAGCTTGTGTAGCATGAAGGTAGCACCCACAAACTAATTAATTGAATAAACCATGTCGATGCAGTACACTAGAGTGGTCTACACTAGCTTAATCTGAAGTGGGTAGCAATTCAATCGGCTCGATTGCCCCACCCCCCAAAGGGACTACAGCATGCGTCGCGTGGTCGGGGAGCTAGAGCAAGGGAGAAACGGAAGAACCCTAGAAGAGGGTACAAGAATCCGCGCCACAGCCCCCGCCCCGCCCTCGAATCGAAGATCAGGGCGAAGGAGGGGCGGGGGATTCCGTGCGGAGAGCGGGACGGTCGGAAGCGTACCGGAGCCGATGACGATGGCGACCTTGCCAAGCACCATGGCCGCTCACTGGTGGACTGCAGCGCCACCTCCGCCGCCTTTGCCTTTGCCTTTGCCTTTGCCTTGCGTCGCGCCGGCCCGGGACCCGCGAGGGAGAGGTGGGGGTGAATCCAGCCAGCAGCTCCGAAGGGGAAGGGGGCAGGGATGGCTAGTAGCTAGGGTTCGTGCGCCAGTTCGGGTTCAGCTGGTTGGCTGGTCGGGCTCGAGCCGGCCCGCTCGGTGCGTCGGGAGTCGCGCGTCCCGCGCCCTTGCTGCGTGGATGGACGGGCACGATGCGGTGCGGCTGTGGTGGCTGATCGAGACGAGCGAGAGACAGGAAGGAACGTGGAGCCGTGGTCCTCGTGGACCCTGCGCTCACCAGATGCAAAACGGAATCCCTTGTGCTACTGTGCTGTGCCTGGCGCAGTGGCGCGGGCAGTGGGCACGGCGCACACATGACCGAAAAACCTGAGTACCTGACCATTTGTCTTGGAAAGCAAGAAAGAAAAGACATGAACATTCATTCTTAAATAAAAAAAGCATGGATACTATTTCGCAAAAATAACATGGACTTGGAAAAAATACACATCAAATGTCAACGCATACTGAATTTTGTTTATTATTAGTATAATGAAAAATACACCACTTGTATATGGACTTTTTTTTAAAGGCACTCTATCCATGGTTTTCATTGGAGACCGTGAGTGTGTTTGGTTAGGCGGTTTTAAACCTCAACCATGTTTTTTTGCAACAACCCCAACTAGGTTTGTTGGATGCAACGTAGTCTTTTTTGTTGCCTGATTGATACTTGAAGTCAGGTGTCAGGTATCAGTATTAGGGATACCCGAAGAAAGGATCTGAGGACCGCGGACGACAAACTCGCCTAGATAATCGAGGACATATTTTAGTCTCGACCTAACCCGAGGGTACGGGAGTCGTCTCGCCCGACCCTGAGGGCACGGGCTCCGTCTCGCCCGGCCCCTCAGGCACGGGCCCCGTGTCGCACGACCCCGAGAGTACAAGAGCCGTCCCGCCCAACCCTGAGGGCACGGGCTCCGTCTCGCCCAACCCCTCGGGCACAGGTCCCGTGTCGCCCGACCCCGAGGGTACGAGAGCCGTCCTGCCCGACCCTAAGGGCACGGGCTCTGTTGAAAGGTCTTAATGGCTAGAGAGGGGGTGAATAGCCTATTAAAAATTTCTACAACAACACTTAGCAAACCGGTTAGACAATTATGAGGTGAAGCAAGTGTTGCGCTAGCCTACTAAAATTACAAGCCACCTACCATAATTCTAGTTTATATAGTTTCTATCCACACAATGTCTATGTTACTACACTAAGTTAGTGTGCTCTTAAAGGTTGACTAAAGAGCCACACTAACCAAATTAACAAGCTCTCACGACTAGCTACACTAAAGAGCTTGACAACTAGTTTGCGGTAATGTAAAGATAGAGAGCAAGATAGTTATACATCCGTGTCGATGAATGAACCAATCAATCACAAGAATGAATACCAATGAAGACCAATCACCTCGGAATCAAATGATGACACAATAATTTTTTTACCGAGGTTCACTTGCTTGTCGGCAAGCTAGTCCTCGTTGTGGTGATTCACTCACTTGGAGGTTCACGTGCTAATTGGCATCACACGCCAAACCCTCAATAGGGTGCCGCACAACCAACACAAGATGAGGATCACACAAGCCACGAGCAATCTGAAAGCATCTAGGCTCCTAGTTGGGTTTCGGTGATTAATGACAATACAAGATTACTATGACTAACGTGTGTTTTGCAGAGGCAATTAAGTTAGGTCATGGTAATGACAATTGATTGGGCAATCATGCCCCTACGATGGAAATCGTTTCGGTTTTCAAAGGATGGACGACAAGGTTAAGGATGGACTAGTTCTAAGTGTCATTTGGTGTTGAAGAGACACTTAGAGTAGTTTAGGATTTTGTTTTTCCTTTGGCCATACTATTAAGGGGGGTATGGACTAGTAACTTGACTTAAGTGAGTCTTGTGGGTTAAGTGTGGTGCACACTTATCAAATCTAGCACTAGATAGCTCCAGAGTAGCCCTAAGATCAATTGGAGCAAACTTTATTCACATATGATTTCGAGTTGGAAGTGAATGGAGGGTCAAATGACTGACCGGACGTTGGTCTGGTTGTGACCGGACGTTGAAGGGTGAGTCCGGTCAGTTCATTTGATCAACTGGAGCCGTCTGGTTGCGACCGAACGCTGAGTGAAAAGTGACCGGACGCTGGGTGCCAGAGTTTGGTCAACTCCAAAGAGGTTCCAGAGAGGAAAATTTCTGATCGGACGCGTCCAGTCAGTGCTGACTGGACGCTGGTCAGGATTCGGTTACTAACCGGACGTTGAACAGCGAAGTGATCGGACTCTAGGCGCCAGCGTCCAGTCAACATCAGCAAGGTTCCAGAGAGCAGTTTTCGTGATCAGACGCATCCGGTCAGTGCTGACCGGACGCAGGTTAGAGTCCGGTCACAACTTAATGGCTCTATGGCGGGGATAACTAATCGGAGCGTCCGGTCACCTTGACCAGAGTGTCCGGTCACCCCGCAAAGTGCTGACGCAACGTCCTAATGGTTCGTTTTGAATGAGGGGGTATAAATACTTCCTTTATTCATCCAAGGGAGGTCTCTTGCCCATTTGTTTAGCTGAAAAACACCCTTAAGAGTGCTAAGGAGAGCCAGAGCCTATTGAGGTGATTGAGATTTGAGATTTCAAGATTAAGGCCTCATTAGTGCAAGGAGAGTAGCAAGTGTGCATCCACCCTTCTCATTAGATTTGTTGTGGTCAAGTGAGAGTTTATGCTTGTTACTCTTGGTGATCGCCATCACCTAAACGGTTTGGTGGTGATCGGGAGTTTGGTGATCATTCGGCGGAGCTTGTGGATGACCCAACTCAAGTTGTGAGTGGTTGTGGGTGATTCACCACGACGGAGTGTCGAAGAATCAGCCTATAGAGAGCACTTGATCCTTACGCAGATCAAGGGAGAGCTACACCCTTGCGCGGGTGCTTCAACGAGGACTAGTGGGGAGTGGCGACTCTCCGATACCTCGGTAAAACATCACCACGTTCCTTCTCCTCTCTTTACTTTAAGCATTTACATTTGAGCAATTCTTTTCTTGTCTTTACATTATTAGAATTGCCATGCTAGAGTAGGATTGGAACTTAGGGTGCTAAACTTTTATGCGGTAGATCAATAGAATCATATTCTAGGCATAAGAGGTGAAGTGGGCTAAGTGTAGGGTTTAATTATTGCAAAGAATTTTAGAATTACCCTAATTCACTCCCCTCTTGGGTATCTTGATCCTTTCAATTGGTATCAGAGCCTCGTGCTCACGTATTTAGGCTTAACCACCTAGAGAAAGATGTCCCACGAGGATGGACCTCCTTCTATCTTTGAGGGAGATGATTTTCCTTATTGGAAAATCCACATGGAGACTTATTTAGAAGCTCTAGATGTTGGAATTCTTAGAGCCGCCTCTCAAAGCTTTCCAAAACCTAGGGATCCCACACACCTTCAAGGCGATGAGGTCAATTATGAGAAATGGAATACAAATGCTAGAAACACCATCTTTAGAGGCCTTTGCAAAGATGTGTTTAACCGTGTGCGGAACCACAAGGACGCCCATGCACTATGGTCGGACATTTGTTTGCTCCATGAGGGAACAAAGAGCGAGCGTGAGGAACGCTATTATCTTGTCATGAAAAAGCTTAATTCTTTCGAGATGCTTCCTAAAGAAAGTGCAAATGAAATATACTCACGCTTAAATATTCTTGTAGAGGAAGTCAATGGGCTTGGACTTATACAAATGCAACCATTCGATGTTGTAAGAAAGATCTTGAGTGTCCTCCCCATTGATAAATATGGACACTTTGTGACCGTGCTTCATCAAGGTGATCTTTCCACCGCTACACCTGCTCAAATCTTAGGAAAGATCAATGCTCATGAGATGTATATGCACATCACACCATAAGATGGCTCTTCTTCTACCAAGAAGAAAGACAAAGACTTGGCATTCAAGGCTAGCCAAGAGAAGGGCAAAGCAAGAGTTGAGTATGAGAGCTCAAGTGATGATGAAATTGATGATGCAAGTCTTGCTCTCATGGTGAGAAGAACCGCCAAGATGCTAAAGAAGCTCAACAAGAACGGTGTCAAGTTTGATGGCAAGAAAAAAAAGTTCTTCAGTAGCAATAGAAGGAAGCCAATCTCCAAGATGGATTGCTATAATTGTGGAGAACTTGGTCATCTAGCTCATCAATGCCCTAAGCCAAAGAAAGACAAATACAAGAAGAAGTACAAGGGCAAGAAAGATGACTCAAGTAACGAAGATGAGTGTAACACCCCTGGTGTTACCAGCTGTTTAGCACCACGATTTAAGCCTAAGAAAAATTACCAAAACGATTTTCTAGGATTTAATTTTTTTAAAAAACCAACTTTTCGCGTCAACATCTGAAATTATATTTAAAAGCGTTGTTGTCCTTGCTGCACTGTCGTGCTGGACATTTGAGTATAGTGGTGCGTCTCCCTTGCTCTGAATAAATCCATCATCCGAATTATTAACGTCGCGCCGTGTTGCTCTACTGGCCACGACTAGCTGTTGCCTGTGTTGTTGTCCGTTGCTATGCAAGTGCTTCCACGAACTTTTTGGTTTACTGCGGTTATTTCTCCCTTTCACCACGGTTCAACTTCAAAAGTACTTCTTGAGCACACTGAACTGCTGCTGCTCTCACTCTGTTTTTCCTGTCATGTCTGCCTCCGCTTTGCTTTTCCACATCGTGCTGCTACCGCCTGAGCAAAGCTCCAACTCACAAATTCCCACGTCTCCCTACCACTATTGTCTTGGTCTGTGCTCGCTTGTCTAGGCTGTCTCTGTAACACCCCAGGTGTTTATCACCAGTTAAGCAATGGGTTTGAGCTCAAACATGACATGTCGAGTGGTAATCAAGGTGTCAAGATCAAATCTACATGATGGAGCTCCAACTTAAACTTGGGCC